ATTCAGCGTAAGGGAGAAGTGTGTGGCCAGGATGGGTCAAAGTCAGGATTGGAAACATGGGACTCAGAGCAGAGGGTCTCTGAGCACAGATCTCACAGAACATCAGGGGCAGAAGGGAATCGAGATGCCCATTTTACTGCCCCTGTAGCCTGGATTGGAGGCATGGGACAAGCCAGAAGTTCTGCTTTTATCCACCGAATCTCCCCCCAACCCTTCCCCCGGCTCTATTTTACCTGTCTTATTTGTCTTTGAGACAAGAGTTCATTTGAAGAAAAAGCTCTGTGTCTAAAGAATAATAATGGGGGAGTGAGGATACCTGTATTGTCCAAATCCTCATTTTACAAATGGGGAAATAGAGGATGAGAGAGGAAAACTACTTTCTATACCTGAAGAAATGGCAAACAGGAGAGATATTAGAGAAAGAGAGGGAAACAAAGTCCCTAAGGCAAAAAAGTCTATAGAGAGAGCATCACAAGATGAATTACCTCAGCGGTCTATTTGAGAGATTATGTCATGTCAGGAAAGTTCTAGAGACTTGAGCCTCTTTCCTTCATGGGAGGTCATAAAGGGAACACTGGCCCCTCAGCCTGACTCCCAGAGAGAACCTCAGGCTGATGAGCAATAACTGCAACAATGTCATTTCCCTGGCCATGCTGAGCCCCACAGGAAATCTCAGAATTTCTCTCACTCCAGAACAAGGCCCACAGGAATGTCGCTGCACCCAGAGCTCTGTGGTTTGATTTCACTGGAGAATTTCCTAGGGGAAAGCTTCTGAGGGAGATTGTTCAGCAAGACAGAAAAATGCTGCAGTGAGGCCATCTCCTGCTGGAAGGTGTGGGTTTGAAAGGCCGCCTGGAGTTTACACAGCAGTCCTAATCCCCTTGTAGCTCACAGCAGCCCTGGCCAAAGCTCCCAGCCCTTTCTCAAGGACTTCTAACTCCAGGACACGGGAGATTGGGACAGTTTGTTTTACAATTTCACAAGTTGATCTCATAAAGGGCTTGACCCTTAGGGCCTGTTCTGTTTGTAGAAGTAAGCCTCTGATTTTCCCAGGCACGTCGGTGAGAGTTGAGAGACCTGTGTTTACCTAGGGGCAGAGGTTACAAGGCATTGCCCCAAACTGAAAATCATCTTGAAGAAGAGGCTCATTTTCTGTCTTTGCCTTCTCTGTTGGTGTTCCTCATTCATGCGTGTTGTGGGGAGAACTGAAAAGCGGTGTGTATACAAGTATATCAGCAGTAAGTCATCATTCCCATCATAAATGTACTTTTATTCAACAGGTATTGAGTTCCTCTCATGTACCAGCCATTTTTCCAGTCATTGGGATATCAGCAGACAGAACAAAGTCGTGCCCTTTTGGGCTCCTCTTTCTTGGAAGGGAAGATGAACTGATCCTGCCACTTCCCGTGGGGGCAGGTGCTGTGCAGGAGAATAGGAGCACAGAGCTGCCATAATATTCAAGGCTTTTCCCGCTGAGGTGGCATTTGAGAAAGGCCTGAAGGAAGTAAGCGAGCTAGTACTGTGGACATGTGGGGAAGAGAGTTCCTAACAGAGAGCCAAAGGGCAAAAGCCAGGCAGGAGCATGGCTGGCGGGTTGGAGGGGCAACGCCGAGTCGGAGGTGCAGGCCAGTGTGGCTGGAGCTGAGTGGGCGAGAGGGAGTTGAGGTCAGAGTCCGCTGAGAACAAGACTAAAATGGCTTTGCAAAAAGGCTTTAGCCTTTCATTTTGAAATTGGAAGCCACTGGAGGGTTTTAAGTGTTCACAGAGGACTCTGAGCACTGTGTGGAGAAGAAACTAATGGGGACCAAAGGGCAGAAGAAAGGAGACCACCGAGGAGGCTATACATTAAGGTCACATTCTGGATACATTTTGAGGTAGTGCATAGGATTTGTTGGTTGATTGGATGTCAGATGTGAAAGAAGGAAGATTCAAAGATGACACCTAAGATTTTGAGCATTTGCAAGAATGGAGTTGTCATTTACAGAAATGGGGAAGATGGGTCCACAGGATTTCTGATGTGACTAGTAGTTTTAGGAAGAAAGTGTGGAAATTCAAGGAAGAAAAAATTTGACTTAATCATTGGTTCCTTAATTTTCTGCATCCTTTCTGACAGTCTTGTTTGTATTTGGATCACTTCTACCACAGTTTTCTTGGCTGAAGTACAGGTCCCAGTGTACTAACTTATAGGGACCCTTAGCCAGCCCCCTGTGATTCAGTGCGGTCCGAAAGCTGGGGGCACAGAAGAACTTTGGGGCAGATTCTGTCTCTGGGACATCCCTCAGTTCATGGTTTCCTAGGGCTGCTTGACAAATTATTGCAAAGGCGGCTGGTTTAGAACAACAGAAAATTATTCTCTCACAAGTTTTAGAAGCTAGAAGTCCAAAACCAAGGTGTCATGGGCCATGCTCCCTCCAAGGCCTCTGGGGAAAAACCCTTCCGTTTCCTCCTCCTAGCCTCTGGTGGTTGCTGACCATTCTTGGTCTTTGTTTGCTTATAGATGCGTCCTTCCCTTTCTGCCTCCCATCAGGGGATGGCATTCTGTCTCTGGGTCCCTTTTGTCTTCGTGGCCTTATAAAGACACTAATCATTAGATTTAGGGCCCACCCTAACTCAGCATGACCTCATTTTAACTTGACCCTATTTTCAAATAAGACCACATTCACAGGTAATGGGGGGTTAGGATTTCAACGTATCTTTTTGTGAGACAATGCAACGCACATCACATACTCTGATTCAGGTTTGATTATGAAGGTCGTCTTGGCTTAGGTATGTTTGAGGATAAGACAGGAACTATTGAAAAAGTTAGAAAACAGGTCCCTCGGTGCTAGGGATGACCCATCTATTAGGATGAAATGAAAATTTTAATGTGCAATAAATTTACCTAAGCTAATTAAAGATTTAAAGATAGGTTTATTTTGCATTATTTTTTCAAACTTGAAGACCTTAGGTTATGCAGCGTAAAAATCATGAAAAAAAATCATAAAACTGAAACTGGAAGAAGAGACATAGAATGAGGAATTTTAAAGTAAGAATTATAACCTGAATTTGATTGTCCAGAGGCCTGTGCAGTAGGTAGAAAAGCTCCAGCTGACGTTCCAAGTTTACAGTTTTGACAATTGGGGCAGCAAGTTGGCAGAGATGGAATGCAAAGGACCCGGCTCCCTGAGCACCAGCACCTGCCGCGGGAGCCCAGCCCCGCTTGCCCCCCTGGCCTTTTTCTCACATTCCCACAGGGCTGGGAAGGTGCCCAGATGGTTCATGGCACTGGTCTTTAGCTGCTGCTCCCCTGCTGTGCAACATCCAGTACGTGGACATTCTTCAGTGGTGTGTCAGGAGTTACTAGTATTTCCCTCTTTAAGTCACCACATGTCAAGTCTAGGGGTTTATCAAAGGAAGTTTAAGTTCCCATTCTGATAGCACAATGATAGGACTGTATCAGGTTTAGCAGCATAATAAATTCCTTAGCAACAGTATACATTCATAGCCACTGTGAGTTTTTATGGAGCTCCTGTTGTTTACAGGTTGGACAGCAGTTGTGTGCAAGTTAGACAGATGGGAGATGAGTAAAGAGATAGGGCTCTTTCTAGCCTTCAGGAAATTCAAAGTTAGGAGACAACCAACAGGAATCAGGGTTCACACAAGAACTGATAAAGATGCCACAACATTGGAGCCAATAGGAAAACTTCCCTAAATGTATGATTTAATAAATAAATAGGGGCGCCTGGGTGGCTCAGTGGGTTAAAGCGTCTGCCTTCGACTCAGGTCATGATCTCAGGCTCCCTCTCCCCCTCCTGCCTGCTCGTTCTCTCTCTCTCTCTCTCTCTCTCTGTCAAACAAAATTTTGAAAAAAAAAAAAATCTGGACAGAGAGTGGGAGGGACCTGTAGAAGAACACCAGAGACTTTAATAGTGAAGGCCTCAAGCAACAGAGGCCTTCGTTTTGATTTTCCTGCCTCAGTGGTTTGGTTGGGCATCAGTTCCCAAGAAAAACCTGCTCACCTGTTCTCTGGCCCGATATTGCCTGGTTTTCCCCGGTCATCTGGGCACTTCTGTGGTCCCAGTGAATCCACAGCTGCTAGGGTGAAAGGTGTAGGGTCCACCTGAGCTGCCTGGCTCCAGTGTGGCCCGGCCACATGGACCCTTAGAAAGGGGACTGTTTAGAGTATTCCTCAAAAAGGGAGCCTCATTTCATGTCTCTTAAGTGGGAATGCAGCCACAACTATGTCCTCAGGGCAGGGACCAGTGGTGAAGCCACCATACTTTTTAGGTGACCACAGGGCAAATAATGTACAGACATCATTTCCTTTGACTAATCTTTTGTAATCCTGACCCAGATGTGGCTCCTGCAAGTGGTTAAATTTCTTTGTCTAAGTTGAGATTTTTAATTTAGGACCCAGATGGGGTAGGAGGTAAACTTCCAAAAGGTCTCTTTTACTCAGTGTGTCACTGTCCTGGATTCCTGGCAGGCAGCGGTTTCATGAGAAAAGCAGATTTCAGCCTGACGCATCTGCTCGGTGAGACGTGGGGTACAGCTTCTTAGCACTTATGCAGCCTGTCTGCTCACTGGACAGAGCAGAACCCTCTGGTGCCCTGTCCGTTCCGCAGCAGTGGCGGCTCCAGGCGCCTGGCCCAGGCCATGGAAAACCTTGAGAGACAGTCTGTTATGGGGCCAGAGTTGTCCTGGAATTTCCTGGCCTTTGTCTGGTGTAACTTCATGTACTGAGACGCCTGTTTCGAGTGCACTTCCTCCTGGGGGAAAAGCACAGCTGCCTTCCGCAGAGCACTTCTGCTTCCTGCGGCTGAATAACCTCTTCCCCGCCTCAGGCCTGTGGGCGGGGCGAGGGCAGCGCTCTGGTCAGGTGTGTGTACCCGGCCCCCATTAGACAGTATGCTACTGGAAGTCACTGGCCACAGAGGAGAAGCCACTACCATCGGCCATAAAAGCTGCATCTGCCGACCTGGCCCACCCCTCCTAACTCTGGTTTCTTTCTCATGCTGCAGCAGAAGAAATCCTATCTGGAGCGGAGTGTGAAGGAAGCGGAGGACAACATCCGGGAGATGCTGATGGCACGAAGGGCACAGTAGGAAATCTCTAGCAGAAGCTTCCTGCTCCCTCCCATTCCTGGCAAGGGCAGAGGGGCCCATGTGGGGAAAGCATCCTCTCTTCTGCCCTGATGGACTTTTTATTTGGATGATCTGGTAACCCTATGTTTTCTACTTCACCCTGATCCCTTTTCAGATCCCAACTCTTGGATTTTTTATCCTGGCTCTGTCTGCTACCCCTGCCCAGAACACTCTTTTCCCCTGGGGGTGAGTCACCAACTCCCAGGAGAGGGAAGCTGGGAGCCAGGACAGAGGGGAGCTCTGCCCAAGCCTATCACTAGTTATGCTGCTTAGACCAATAAAAGGCGTCTGTTCCCCCAGCCACTCTGCTAAGTCTGCCTTTCTCAAGCTGAAGGATGAGAACCAAGGGCCAGAGAAGCAGAAACTTTCAACCTCAGCTCCCTCCTTGTCCTTTCTCCTTCCAGGGCTTTGGCTCTGTTCCTTCTTTATCGGAGCCTTTTCTGCCTCCCCGCCCCCCCCCCCCCCCATTTTTTCCCCTTCTGTTCCTTTGAGTAAATCCCTCACCTTCTGAGCCTCTCTGCAGATAAGGAAGGAAGGAGACCAGGGCATAGCTGAATTCAAGTAACTTTGGTGGCAGTGTGCCCAAAGATTCCTTCCTCTTCCTCACAAATGTTCCTGAAGAAAATGCAGTAATAAACCAGCAGTACCTCCATGGCTGTCTAACCCTTTGGCCAGTGTCACAGAGGTGGACACTAATCCTAAGGCCTCCTACAGGCTTAGGGGCAGTGGTGTGCCGGAGGTGGCTCGTACTGGTTTGTGAGAGCCAATTATTAAAACAAGTGTTAGAACTATTTCAATCCAGTTGTGAAACACAGCCATTATTAAAAATTAAGTTAGGTAAATATACACAATTAAAATAAGAGTAATAAATATTCAGAACTTACCCCCTTCCTAATTACTAAATCTAGCCATTATCTATGTTTTTGATAACAGTCTATTGTATCTGGATGATGGAAATGCTACATAATGGTGCACTCCTGCACTTTTCTTTCCAACTCTGCGTTCAGGACATCATGTTGGTAGCTTGAAATCAGCTATTTACTCCACAGAATCAGGTGATGGATAAAATAAGGATTTGTTTTAAAGAGCACTGGTAGTTAAATATGAGCACATCACTGCTTCAGAGGGAAAGTGGGCAGAGAGCTGTCAGCTGCAGCCTCCCAGGGCTGGCCGAGCCCGCTAGCTGAGGGAAGATGACTCTGTTATGGCGGCTCAGCGCCACCCTGCGGCCAAAGCTGAGATTGGGTGGCCTGCCTATCTGGCTTGTTCGATGACAGCTCCTCTCTCTCGTGTGTGTGTGTGTGTGTGTGTGTGTGTGTGTGTGTGTGGAGGGAGGCTGGGGGCGTGGAGGGCTGGTAGCAGAAAAGAAGGCGTAGGCTCTGGGTAAAAGCACCTACAGCAGCTTGGTGAGTCTGTCTCCCGGTGGGACGAGGGAGCCTGCCTTCCTCATAGCACCCACCCGCAGTGGAATGAAAACGTAGACAGACTCCCTCCCTCGTCATAGTGGACGGTGGCTACTAACGGAGAAACCCAAGGCTTATATTCTGTCTGGAATAATTCGTTCAGTTGAGGTTTACACAAATTTATTGAAACATACAGGGTGTTAGCAGAGAAATCATTCATTCAGTGGTATTACATCATGTCACTACCTTGAATGTATAATTTTAAAATTATAAATATATATTTTATAAGCCTTTGGCCAAAAAAATAAAAGTCATTTAGCACATTTGTGAAAGGCCAATAAGAAATGGATTTTAAACATTAAAAAGATAGAGTCACTGAATTAAACAGCAGCGCAACCCCTGCTAATCTAGAATCCCACTGTGTCGAAGGTAGAAGTGTCTGTGCAGAGCTAGTCATTTTCCTTGATTTCAGCAATCAGAAGAGATGGGGCAGGCCCACCTGCTGAAGGTGGTGGCAGAGCTGGCAGGACAGGGAGGCTGGGCTGGTCAGGTGAGCATGTCCCAGAGACAGCAGCAACAGAGCGCAGTCCAGCAGGCTGTGAGGCAGGTGGATGGGCCCAGGTCATCCCTTCTTTGGTCTTCCACCACATACACTGGAGGGAGAAGGAGAGGGTTAGAATGAACTGGCACAAAGCCCAGGCCCTACAGAGCCAGTGCCTCCCAGACCAGGGGTGGACTGCAGCAGCCGAGAGCCACCAGGCAGACTGGGGGTGGCCTTTCACTTACACTGTGGCAGATGTTCGGAGGAAGGGTGGCTTAGCTCAACTACTTTCTCTCCTCCTCCTAAGGACTTTTATCCCTGCCGGGACAGGTGCTAGGGGACCGACAAAATGGCCTCACACTAAGGCAGCCAAAGAGAGAGTAAGGGACACTTCTTGTCTGGCCAGAGTTGGTTAGCCTTGCTTGCTTTAGAAACCAGGCAGCAGTATGTCCTGTGCCTTACTGGTATTTCCTCAGATACCATTATGCCATCTCCCAAAAGAAGGCATAAAGTTCCTAAAAAGGAACTGCAGGCCCTAAGAGAATAACCAAGAGTCCTGGTTTTTCAAACCTGGGCAATGCACACAATCACAGTGTGCCACAGACACAGTGGTGGGGGGCAGGGATGAAGACCTGGTCAAGTGAGAGGGATGGCTGGAACCTAGCACCCTGGCTTTTTCGCAGAATGGAGATGGAACTCTAATAAGCCCTATCAGGACTAAGTGCTCTATTAAGACATCTGAGTGCTACACAAATCCACAGGTCAAAAAGGACCCCAACTTCCCTTCGCTAGTCAGCGGACTTGCGGCCGACATCAGCCTTCCTTCCGGTAAGCACATACTTAAAATGGCTGGTGGTCAACCTCGATCTCAGAGGGTCTGTGGCCCCTTTTAAGAAAATCTGAAGACAACCACCACCACTAAACTCATTTATAAGTAGTAAGGATTTTAAAAAACTTTTTCAAAGTTAATGAATACATGAATCTTATAAGTTAAATTGGTCCTTTGGCAGTTTTCTTTCAGTTCTGTTTTTGTGTATCTATTTTTATACCTCCTCTCTTGGCAACTGCTCTCTCTGAAGCCTGGTATAGTAGCTAGAATACTCTGGGTTAGTAGTGAGCTTTTCTAAGTTGTCCCACTGTGTCAGCCACCCTCCACAGACCTCCCTTCTCTTGTGGCACAGCTTTCAACTCAGCCTGCTTTCCTTTGGCCCCACTCAGCAACACAGGCAAAACTGTTCTGAGGTCTGGGAGACAAGACCCAGCCCCAGGGAGGCCTAGTGAAAGAGGAGAAGACATTTATTCTGAGGCCTGTAAGGTACGTTACCTGATTTAGTCGTAACAGCAGTACCTGAACATAGACACTACCATCATTCCCATTTCACAGGTAAGCAGTGCAAAGCTTCGAGAGGTTAAGTCTCTCGTCCAAGCATACATAACCAGCCAGAGGCAGGCTCAGGGTCTGAACCCACGCCCTTGGCAAGCTAGACTTGCCCAGGCCCATCTGGGGTAGAAAAGGGATCGGGAAGAACACAGGACTGAATGTGCTCTAGGACCATCCTCTCTCTCACCCCACCTGCTAAAGGCATGCACAGTCCAAACCCCTGGGGCCACCTCGGCAGGAAAGCCCTTTTCACCTGCTCTCTGCCCAGATGACCTGCCCAAGTCCCAGCCTCCCTTCAGCCTGCAGTCGGCAGCTTCAAACAGGGAAATGAACACAACAGAATGCACACTCCCCAGAATAATCCCTTACTGTATTCTACTTGCCAGAGGACCAGCTCTGCTGCCCTTGAGACAGAAGGGCCCTCTCCCCTGCCAGCTCTAAAAAAAAAACCACTTGCCTCATCTAGGCCTGAGACCCTACCTGGTTGCTATGTGTGAGAGGTCCTGTCGCCTCTCTTAAGCTACCATTTGTTGAGATCACAAATGTGCCGGGACCTGTGCCAACAGCCTTCTATACATAATACCACTCAGTCTTCACAACCCTGTGGTACAGGCATTGGGACACCCATCCTCACTGCTTCTCCTCCCTGTGCTGCTTCCCTCCCATTTTACCACGGAACCTTGGGCAACTTCATCAGGGAAACTTCCTCTAACACCTTTCTTCATTGTAGTCAAGTTTGTCCTTGCTAAGGCTTTATTTCACATGACAGCCTCTGAAACCTGGGGCAATGGGGACGTGGAGCTCATTGCTCCCAGACAGTGCTCACAGGCGTGGGGTAAAGGGGGCTTGGGGGGGGCGGTTAGAAATAATCCATCTGGCTACAGGAGAGGAGACTTCAAAGGGCTGCGTCAACCTCATTTTGGGGGTGGGGTGTAAGTTCTCAGCATACCTTAGAAACCCTGTCACTTATTTCCTGGGGTGCCGAATCTTCTGAAGCCCTTACGACTTTCTCCTTTTCATTAGGTGACAACAGAACCTCTACCCCCAAACTGCTGAAAAAGTAGGGGGTGGAAGAGAGGGTGTGGGGAGGGTAGGTCTGGAGGGTAGGAGTAATGTGTAAGTTTTCCTTGCTTTTCTGTCACCCAAAGCAGGGGTGACTGGCCCAGGAGAAAGCTCTTGAGGAAGGCCTCACAGTTCCTCACAGCACCCACCGTGGGGCTCTCGAACGGCATACAACTTCATCTTCCTAGATGCCCTGCCTACGGGGAGGATCTGAGGTCCTGCACCTCCAGAGGGTGCCCGCTGCACTGGGCAACACGGCCTACTCTTCCCCAGCACACACCCCACCGGGGGCCCTCACGGCTCCTCACCTACTCCCCCACCCACTGGGTCACACTGGGTCAGTCTGTCCGCCAGCTCCTATACCGCCCTGGCTGACTGGTCGGTTGGAATGCAGCCCACTCTGCCTGCGGCCCAGGGTACTCGAAGCCCGGGGACTCGTGTGCCCTGAAGCCGCCCCGGCAGGACTGCTTTCCCAGCAGGAGCCCTGCTGTGGCAGAGAGGACTCCAGCACTTGTGTTCATACCCAAGCCTTCCTGGCAAGTGGCCTCCACCGGCACGCAGGGCATAAAAAGGGGGCAAGCACCATGGTTATGGATGATGTCAAACATTCGGGAAAACGAGGTGAACAGAAACTACTCTCTGCAAGTCTTCTGTGAGTCTAAAAATTATTTCGAAATACCAGACTTTAAAAAGGGGTGGGGAGGGAGTGGGAGAAGGCGTTGCCCTTCCAGGTAGGTCAGCAGTCTGCCCAGGTGGGGAGGCAGGTTCTGATACCTATAGTCACTGCTCAGATGGAGCTCCTCCTCAGAGATCAAATGCCCCCCTGTGGCCAGCCTGGGCTGCAGCTCCCGATGGACAGGCAGGGCTTTAGGGACTGGCTTATATCCACCTCAGCCAGAAGGCCTGCCCCTCCCCATTCGGGTCTGGTGTCTCAGTGCCGATACCACGAAACTCAAACCTCTGCCCTACCCCGTGCAAGAAAGGACTCTGTTCTCAGAAAACTACAGCTGAGTGGGGCATCAGCTCCAAGCGTCCCCTCACCAGCGGGTCTCGCTTGTCCCAGATAGCCCTTTGACGGCACCCCTCAGTGAGGGGCAGGTACTCAGAGCTTTGCCACAGGAATGCAAGTGCACAAGTGTGTGTGTGTGGCGGTAGAGAGGGCAGCTGGGGGAGTGTGCAGGGAGGGGTGTATGTGCACCCAGCTGTGACCCAAAGACCTAGACTAGGTCAGAAAGGCTTAGGTTAGTCTTGGATGCTGGGCAGCTTTGGAAGCTGAGCAGTTCCTGGGAGAGGTTCCCACCAACCTTTTTTGACTCTGTGCTGGAAGCAGAGACAGCAGATGTTAGGTAACTGGAGACGTGCGGCCCCCTGTGCCCAACTACCTGCCCACCAAGCCCTAGGGTCTTCTGCATAGTCACCAGCCCACAGCAACCCCGACCGCCAGACTCCCCAGCCAGCAGTCCCAAGTTCTGGGACTACCGTGTTGCACAAGCTAACAGTGCCGTTTACAGGCGCTACTCAGAAACCTGCTTCCGGGCAGCAGTGCGCATGCGGGGCGCCAGGCAACAGCGGGGCCAGGGCAGAGATGACCTGAAGAAATGTGAGCAGAGGCCTTCTCAGCTGAAGGCTCCAATACCTCAGTCAGCCCTACCCTGGAATCTGAAACCTTTACTTGAACAGCTCAGGCCTTTTAAATGATTCATCAAGTGCTCTGGAGTGGCGATACAGCATTATTAGGCCCTTCCTATTTGTGTATGCACCTGTACACAGTCCCAGCCCAGGAGAGCTAATAACGAGAAGCAAACAAAGACTGGGCCTCCCGGAGAGTTCTGATGTTTGGGGCTTTTATGCTCCAGTTACTAGAAGGCTGCCCCTTGGCCTCTCATGGCCCACACCACTGACGGGCACCCAGGACTGCTCCTCAACCGCTAAGACCCCCACGGCCAAAAGAGCTCCCAGGAAGTACCCTCAGCAGGGGTGATGGCTTTGCCAGAGGCAGGAGCCTTATAGTCTGTGCTCAGCTGCTCTCGCCCAGTCTTGAGAATCTAAGACCAACAGAAGAAAGCCAGTCTTCCAGGAGGTATCAGAGGATGCCTAGACAGCCCTCCTACTGCTCAGACCAAGAGGTAGGGAGGGGCAGATCTTTAAGCATTTTAGCAATAAGCAAGACCCCAAGATAGCCAATAGGGATGGATCCTGTTCCTTCCATGCAAGTGGCAGAGAGGAGAGCACACGACTTGCTGAGGACTCACTTCAGCTGTCTTGGATGCGCGTGTGTAGTGGGATCACTTATTACTCGGGACAAGGGGCTACACTGATGAGAAAAGATGTTCTAAAGGCAGTACCACGTGCCACCTGCCCTCAGAGCCCACGAGTACCCCAGGTATGTATGCTGAGGGGGAGAGTGATGGGCGAGGGGTGGCCAGAAACGGTGGAGGTGAACAAGGGGGCGTAGTTCCACTGGAGTGTGCGGGCTAAAAGCAGGACCGGATGGGAAGCCGCCTCCTTGCCTAGTCTTCCGCACGCAGGTGGGATCTGGGGTGGCAGCACTGGCACATTCCGGCCTGGGCTCTCCAACAGCAGCTGCCTTTGCTGGGCTAAGCTCAACACCTTCCCCAGGCCTCCCGGCCCACTCTGCCCACTCTGCTCCTCATGCTTCCTGTTCCCGC